CCGAGCGCGGTCCGGCGGACGTGTTTATATCATCGCGTTTATCCGTTCGCGCACGCTCTTTTTATCCGACACGACGCGCAGATGTATTTATATTCGCGCACGAGAAATATCGCGGCCGCGCCTTTTCAAAAACAACATGCTGGTTTTTTTTTTTTTTTTTCTGTTGGCGGAAGCGGTAGGGTACCCAGCGCACGCGCACGTATCGCGACACCTCGAAGCGTGCAAATCCGAAATCCGGCGGTTTCACGCATATCGAAATCTGTACGTTCCAGATGACTATATCGAACAACATTCTAGACGCGTACGGTTCGGGGGTTCAGATTTCGATGTTTGTATTTAAATCCCTGCGGGATACCAAACTCGTGGGTACTAGATTTGCACGCGCTCCCGTTTTCACGCGCGGCCGAAAATTTTGCGTTCCTCAACGGAATACCTACCTATCAGCTATACGTACATATTTACACACACACACACACATATATATATATATAAAAAAAAAAAATAAACAATCCGGAGTGCGCGCCATATTCCAGTGTTTATAATAATCCAGAAAACACGGTTAGCAAAAAATGTCCGTGACAATTGTTTTTTGTTTTCAAATATTAATTATTACAGTATGCTGTATATACGCAACACAAATCTGGAAAACACAAAAAAACAGTTATCTTCACCGAGCACGTACGTATGTCTTAGCAACCCTTCCATTGGGAAATTGCCCATTTTTTTTGATTTCGCAATTCAAATATTTAGTATGAAGTATTTGTACATGACTAATTTTGGGATTAGTGGATCCTGGAATTAGTGTAGCATTTTCGACTGCAGTATTGACTGCAATTTTTAAATCGAAAGGACTGAAGAGACGTCACACCAGACTCTCTTTTATCCATCTGAATATACGTGAAATTGAAAATTTAACGACGCCAATAATATTTGCTATGTATTTGTAGCACCCGCAATATACGGATTTGCACGATCCATCCCGAAATCCCAACCATCTCCATTCACGGTCAAAAATAGATTACGCGACACTTAACTGCGAAACCCGTTTGAATTGCTATCTCGAAACTAACAAATTCGGTTGCATGTAGCAAGTACAAATGTGCTACTGGTATAATCAGTTCAATGCATTTCGTACGAGTAAAATGTATAACAAATTATTCTTGTTATTTCATACGCCTAGACTTGCCCTTGCCTAGCGCATAACCAACCGACTTTTTACTGGAAGATCGGCGATAGAAATACGTACGACAGGGAATAAAGAAATATACGGTTGCAAAGCCCATTGTATACAACAAAATATACGTACCTATTATGTAAATAAAAATAAACTAAATATAATGTACTTGCGTGATGCATTTAGAATTGATTTTTACAACGCATAATATAATAATACATTTTTTTTCGATTTTGTTATTATTATTATTGTTATTATTTTTTTTTTTTTTCATCGTATGCTTATAAATATTAAAAATATGCCCGTACTCGAAAATTTAGAGAAAAAATGAAATCGACTCGGATTGTATTGGTATATATTTTTAAGAAAAATTCCGACGGACGGTCGAGTTTTTTTTTTTTTTAAAAAAAAAGTTCGCATGCAAACGGTTTTGAAATTATTTAAGGTCGTTGAAATATGGTTTTTTTTTTTTTTTTTCTCTCTCTCTCTTCTAAACGATATAATCTGCGGTATTACGGGCTTCCGGTATGCGCGATGTGTACGCCGGCGGTTACTGATATTTCATATTTATTACTATACCTATAACGCGCATACACGCCGCGCCGGGCTGCTGCAGTACGTTCGATTTTAGAAATATAACAACGCGTCATAATATTATAATCGGTAAACGGTCTCGCGTAAACACGTATACCAGAAATACCGAAACATATTGTATACCGCGAGTTCCGGTCAGAAGAGCGATTTTTTTCGGACCTTTTTTTTTTTTCCCCCCCCCCTAATAATAATAATATCTAATATTATACTCGTATATGCGATAAGCTTTGTCGCCGGCTCGTATATAACAATAATAATAATAATAATAATAACAATCAAACACTGGCCGGCGCCGAAGTTAGCAGAGCAAGACGATAATGTTATAAATATATAGCGTTGTGCACAAAGCACAACGCACCCGAATAATATCCCGCGTCCTGTTTACGCTATTATTTTTATATAATATCATAGTCACGTTCGGAACGGTTTTCGTGTACAGGATTTTTTTTTTTTTTTATTATTTTTTTTTTTTCTATTCGTCCCAGCGATTACTATTTTCGTGTTACGCAATAGCTATACACCATATATTATACACTCGTAAACTGCGACTAAAAAGGCCGACACCGCCGTTGCGCGTATTCGCCACCGTTTTAGAAGGGCGTTCTGTGCGTGGAATGATCAGATTTATTACCGCGTACGCGACGATAAACCGTAACTCGCGAAAAACGATTATGAGCGCACGGAATTATCAGTCGCCTATTTGCCCGTTGCCAAGGCGGGCGTAATCTACAAAGATCACATAAAACGATACCGGTTTTTCGATGAACTTATTAATAAATTAGAAGAAACGTAAAAAAACGACCCCCACCCCCAACACACAGACTGAATAAAAAACGATAGGCACAAGACCGTTCCAATAGTTTCGGACCCGTGTTTACGGGCACGAAAAAAAAGCACACACAGATCGTAGTAAACCGATATATTTTTCGCTTCGCTCTTCAGAATCTAAACACGAAAACAACGTAGTGTAAATAGATAAATTTAAAAAAAAAAAAAATGGGCTAGCGGATGAATTTTTTTAATTTTTCGATAAACATTTCGGAATGTAATATATTACTGGACAGAAACTACATATGTCCGTTTTTTTTTTTTCGAGGTACTGCGCGTGAACTGGTCGAACCGTTTTTACTAACCGGGTAAGTGTTTTCCGAGAATGAAAACACACACACACACACTGCAGTATTGGACCATGTCAATAGCATTTCGATTCGCTTCTATTATTATAAGGTTCTCGTCCGTGTAAAATTTCGCAGTTTCCTGCAGATTTTGCCGTTCCAAGTATCGTGTTGTCGTTCCTGCAAGTGGCGGCATTCCGGATAGTGACAGATAATAACGATGACGACTATAGTTAAATATCCGACTAAACACAATTCGTCTTCGCAGAACTATTAGCCATCAGTAACATTTTTATCGTGACTATATAAACGGCTTATTTTAAACAAATAAAAAACATTTGACCGGATCGATTGAAAAAACGTAAATCTTTTGAAAAAAAAAAAAAAAAACCATTAACACGAAAGATCCCCCTCCCATCGGATCACACTACGTATGCGTTTGTGATAGCGACAAAAGCACACCGACGTGTTTAATATAAAAAAAAAAATCAATTCGTCAACCCTTTCATCGCGTGCGGGTCGCGCGCACTTGAACGCGAAACGCGCCACCTTAAATTACCGCATTGTATAAATGATGTATTTGAAATCCGCGACCGATTATGCCGATTTCGATCGCAAACGTGTTATAATACGCATTAATCTTCTTTCGCCGCAATAATAATTATCCGAATGCGCTGCCGGCCAGCGACGAAATCCACGTGGGACCGTTTTTCCGACCGGGGTAGTGGGGTTGCACGCGTAATACAGTATTGCGACGGATAACGACCAACAAGAAATGTTCCGTGGCGTTTACGCCGCACGATTCATTTGAAACCAATTTCTCTTGAACGCCCGCCGTAACAGTTTTTCTAAAACGAATCGCAAGAGTAATTGTAAAATTTTTCAAATTTTTATTTTTATTATTATTGTAATTTTTTTTTATTTTTTTTTTTCATTGATTTCCAGTTTTCGTAATCAAAAAAAAAAAAAACCGGATGTATTGTTTACTGAAATTATCGGTAAAATATCTAATCGAGCTTCGACCAGAAGTGTTTATCGTTTCACCGGATTTATCGTTGATTATTGTAGTAATTATTAACTAAATTACGCCTGTATGATATTTTTGCTTATTACACGTAAACACAACAACACGTGAAATTAAAGAAATATAAATAGTTTCGATACTTATCCGGTGCACATCCATATCCGATCTCTCATAAAAAAAAAAAAAAATAATAATCTATTTTAGCGTTTCAGTTTGGTCAAAAATGTTACCAATTTGTAAATCCAGAGAAAACCTAAAAAAACTCGAAACCATCGATTGCCTCAAAAATCGGTAAAACGTTTTGAAAATTTTACCACGCATAGAAAAGGCCAATATAAGTATTTTTTAAAAATGTAAGTCTCTACAATTATTTTCAACCGAATTGCAACAAAAATAAAAGAATCAAAATTAATGAGACCGGTTATTTCCGTGAAATGTTTTGTTTTTCCTGTTTTATTTTTTTTCCAGTTATTCCCAATTATAAAAAAATCACGTGGAAAATCAAAAAATAAACTAAACACCTTTTGCTTTCGGAAAATTTCATATATACACCGAAAATGTATAATTTTATGTATCTATGGCAATTTTATATATTCAACATTTCTGATAGAAAACAAAAATTGTAAAAATTAAAACTAATGAAAATATGTTTCCATTTTTCCTATACGGTTTTTTTCGGTATTGCCAAATATTGTGAAAACGGTTAAAAAAATCAAAAAATTACCTGCCTACAAATAAGTTTGTGAATTTTCGATTGGAGTGTGATTTTAGAAAAATTGTTAACATTGCAGACACACGCACACGAAAAAAAAAAAAAAGCACAACATCATAGTCAGACCAATTTATTCCTCGTTTCCGTACACGAATAAAAAAATGGACCGAATATTGAATTAAGCCCCTCTTCCACGTGACGACCGAATAAATACGGAGCTGCGTACTTCGCACCCGCACAGACGAATAGTAAAAACTGTAACACCCAACGACAATCTTAAAAAAAACTTCCTCGCTAGCCAAACGTGTAACACAAAAGGACATTGTAAAGAGAACGCTGCGGGCGGGACGTGCCCCGCTGTAGACGTGGACACGCGACACGATGATTGAAATCGACGGTCGAGCAGGCCCCGCCGAAAGAACGCCCCGTTGGGAAGACGGAGACAAATTTTCGATAGCGCCTGCCCGCGTTAAAACAGCTGCGAATCCGTGCGTAGACGGGGCTCCTGCGAACTCGACGCCGCGGTACGGGCGCAGAACTCGATCCAGTCAATCCGACAAGCGTGTCGGTGGATCGGTCCGACAACCCGTTGTCCGAATTCGTTTGACGTTTGCTTTCGCCGGAGGGCCGGTTCCCGGGCCCGCGGTGCCGTGTTCGCGCCGGCGGCGGTTTCCGCGCCGAACCGCGCGTCCGTCTCGATTCGCTCGTGCGGCCACGACCGCGGCGCGGCGAAAACCGGAGGAAAACAGGACGTGGCAAGGGCGAGGGCGAGACCCGGAGAGCGGATCACCGACGTGGTGTTCCCGTTATCGCCGGGCCGCCGCGGTCAAAACGAATAATCGTGTTTGCGTCGTCGGCACGTAACGACGATAATCCGATATCGTGCGCGCGCGCCGTCGTTCGAACGATTTCGCCTTTTTCTAACGCGGCGAGAAGAGAAAAAGATAAAAAAAAAAAGAAGATAATAAGATAATAATGTTAACGAAACGGGACACTCGCTTTAGTGCGCGAGTTTACATTGTTCGCGCGCGCGCGCGCGCGGGGGCAGTTACTCTCGTTCGGACGCCGGAAAGGTATAAAACAAAAACGCACATAATATTTTATTATTCTCGCCTTGTAGTTTAGATTCCGAGCGAAAACGAGCGGGGGATGCATCGGTTTCACTATGATGCGCGCTTGTTTTTTTTTTTTTTTTATATTTTATTTCTCGTTCCGTCTCGCGCGACGCAGCTCACGCCGCGCCGTACAAAAGTCGTATACCGCTCCAATCAAAAAAATAACGAGAGACGGTTTTTACGTTGCGTTTTTACGCGGCTCTGTAGTTGGCGTTGCTCGGTTAAAACATATCCGTAACGACGCCTGAAACGTTCGCGCATTATTACGTTGGACGTTTCTATATTGCAGACGCGGTGAATTCATTCCGGCGACTTTTGAACTATTATTTTTAACGGAGGATTTCCAACTTATTTTTTTCTCGCGTACCGCACAGCGTGTATTACGGACCTGTCACGTGCCACTTATAAATGAAAACAAACGGACATCCTTCGCGGGCCACTGTCGTCAGTGAGAACTCGGCGTACGTTTCGTAAACTATTTTCCGTTTCCCATATACGTTTTTTCTCGGTTTTTCTCATTTATTATGAAAGCCGTTTGAAAAATCAAAAGACGATAACGATAAAATGCCGTCATCCCAGTCGAATTTCCTTTCGGAAAAGATGCTATACACGTGGAAATCGGAACGAAATTTCGGGTAGAAATGGCGTTCAAGGAGAAAAAAAAAATTAAACATCATTGTAAAACCACTACTTTGCCCATTCTAAAATTGAACTATTCATAATGTCTATACATTTATTCTGAAATGATCAGAGCATAAAACAGTAAAATACTACAATATAATTATCATTATCAAAATTAAAAATATAAAATAGCATTAGATCCATTAAAAACATTTGTACAAATACCTATGTACGAAATTCATCATCCTAACTGCTATACTACTCGGTCTTCTGCGTACCACAATTTGAGAACCGCTAATTTATAGGCATTTGATATTTGTTTTTTGTTTTTTTTTTCATATTTTATTCGATTTAATTTGTGTCTATACAATTATCATTGTTCGATCGAACGATGATGTTTAGAAAATTAGTAATAGTACTTTGTAATTTTTTTTTTTTAATGCGCGTTTTAAGTCCGAAAACAAATGTCGTTTAAAAAGTTGACAAAAATCGTAAAAATATAACGGCATTTCGTGACATGTGTAACCGAAATTCGGCCAGAATCGTTTTTCACTAGCAACCGGTTTATCGTCGCGTACAGATATAAAATTAATTAACTTCATGTACACTAAACCTTTTTTGTGGTTGTTTCAACCGTTTTTTTTTTCAGCAGAAATTTGAATAAAAAAAAACGACTTGAATATGCGCGAGGAACATATATTCGCGATTTCGTTCGGAAACTTTTTCGATTACGTTATAACTGTCCCGAAAATTGGTTTTCGGAAACATCATTTTGTATTTTATATTGTTAAAATTTAACAATATCGTACGCCGAAAAGTACCTATAGAATGATTTCCAGTGAAATAAAACTTCGCGGTTTATGCGACGTATACCTACACCTTTATTCTTTTGCTTTCGCCTTGTTGTATTTTGTGTCTATTTTTAGATTCTGAGTGGAGCGAAGAAGCTTATGGTTTTACAAAAATGTTTGTTTTTTATTTTACTTTTTTTTTCTGCAGACAACTTATCTACCAGAGGACTTGCTTCAAATTGTACGTGTAGTAACTTTTCTAAAATGAAATCGATACGGGGAGGTACTTTCAGTGGTCATTTTTCGATTTTCACAAAAATTTTCTCATAAAATGCCTGACCTAATCTAACCGAAAAAAAAAAAAAAAACGGGAAAATTTATGAAATTTAATAAATATAATATTACGATATTTTTTTCCTGTGGACAACTTTTCTACCAGCGATTTTGTTCCAATTTATAATGATAACAATGTTTCTAAAAGGATATCCGACCGGAGAGGTACTTTAGAGAGGTCGTTTTTCGACTTTCTTAGGACTTTTCCCGTAAATGTGAAAAACTCATGGAGAAATCGGTACAATATTAAACAAATATTATTAAAGAAAATATATAGAACCTCTTTAGTTATTTTATTATAATATGGCATTTATATATATATATATATATGTTAACACAGCATCACTATCAACTGAACTCCGCTCAGAATCGTTTTTTTTGTAAACAGTGGTTTATATCGTTGCTTACAGGTATATAATAAATTACCTTTAACAGTGGCTGCGCCCGTCCCCATTATACTGGGAAGTCTTTTCTTTATTTTTTTTTTTTTATTTTCAAAATCGAAAAACGGACCGGATCACGGCTTCCACAACCGCTTTGAAAATCGCGAGCGTTTAAAAAACAGGTTACAGCCGTTTATATTATATGCTATCGAGTTTCAATATCCAAATTCCCTAGTAATAGCCGATGACTGATATTATTATTATAATTATACGTCCAAATAAACGACGATGACGTATTAATTATTCTCCACAACCCACGCGTTCGGTTCCAATATCCGTCTCGTTGTCACTTTGCGGGACGGAAATTACACAAGACGGCCCATCTACTGGATTTCGGTCGTTATCCGGCGTCTTGTGTAATAATTATCAAACGCGGCGGTGTGTAATTTACATATTATAATAATATACCTATACACAAATAACACAGGTGTACAGATACGCAGTGAACTTTGGTGGGGGACGGGCGTCGGGGGTTTCAACCCACCCCGGAGGATTTTTTTTTTTTTTTACATCCGTATCACTTTAAAAACTGCCGTATACCTACCGTTTGGCACGACGTTGTTTCAGACACGATTAATCTTCCGGCGCAGTTTGTCGAATGGTTTTTAAATTTTAACTTGAATAATAATTTTTCGCGCCGGGGGCCGGTCGAAAATTTACGGGACTATTTTATTGTAATGCGCAAAAGTGACGCTGCAGCGTCCAAAAAATATAGAGTAACGAACAATATACAATAAACACAATACATATCCACGGTCCATGTTTTTCCGTAAAGCGGAGGAAATAGCACTGTGTAGCACTGTATGGCGCTGTACAGCTTCATAACCACACACACAAAACTTCTGTAATAATAATATTGGCGGGCTTGGTACGAATCAGATGAACTTAGTCGTCTTAATTGTGTTAATATACCCCCCTCCCCCCCAAATAAAACAAATCGTAAATAAACCACTGCAGCGTTTGTGTGTACAGTCTTACTTTAAATCGGCCAAAACAACATCCGAACGTCGTCGTGCATTATAGACGACAAAATACGCCTGCATTGATGACACGCTGCGGTATTCCGCCATTCGCGTGGTGGCGAAAAGTTTAAGAACAAATTAGTTGTACGCACGCCCGCGAAGACTTCCAGTTTTCAAATTGTAAGTTCCCGTCGCCGCAGACCGCGACGATGACGGGCTGATTAATAATACATCGGAGACCGACGACGAGATTGTTAAATTTTTCGGTTGTTTGATTTGGAAGCGCTCGAACCCTGCAAGTTTACGCGGTTCTTCCGATCCGGTGCCGACCGTCAGGCAGTCGTATGCAGTCACGGTCTGGGTATAAGTAAAAAAAAATGCTCGGTTTTTAATGACGTCACCGAAATTTATGCGGTTTTTGTTTTGTGCGCTTAACGCGCTGTTAATGTTTTGTTAATTGAGTTTTTTTTTTTTTTTTCCATATATATACATATTTATATTAATTTTATTGTATATTATAATGTTATATTACCCCGCAGTCGTTAATGTATTGTCGTAGTGACGACAAATCGAACTTTTTAATTTCATAAAATATATTCACGTTCGAACTTTTCATTTACGCTCGAGTATCATATCTTTTGATCACAGTTGGCATAATTTTTTCAGTAATAAGTGATTTGGCGGAACGGCCGGAATCATGTCACGCGTGTTGGCGTTTTCTGATCACAATCGTCGAACGAGATTCCGCGGTTCTTTTGAAAACAATCCGTCTTGATATCTGCACGATTCGAGTAAAAATTATATTCATCTCCTTTATATTATTATAGTTACGCGTTTATCGTTCGTGTTTTTTTATAACTCACGGATTTTCCCTCCAGCGTTACGTCTATTGTTAATTTGTATATCTTTAGATTTTTCAGATTCTGAGTGAAGCGAGAAATGTATTCATGATTTTATGATGTAGTTTTTTCGTGCCCATAAACTTTTCTACCAGAAATCTTGCTCTCTCTAATCAGAAAGGACAATTTTAGGAACTTTATATTATAGGATTTTTCGATTTAGTTAACGCATTGAGGCACTCAATTTTTTATTTTCCTTATAGTTTTCTTATAACGAATAGAAAAAAACTGGCTATTTATTGTATAATTGTTGTTGATTTCTGGGTGATCTTGACAACAAGGGAACAAATACGACTTATAATAATCTACCCAGAATCGTTTTTTCTCAGCAACGGTTTACCGTTACGTAAGGATAAAAATTAAATTACTTTGTATACATATCCTCTCTTCCAACTCCTCTTCTAAATAAGCCCTTTTTTTTCTTTAACACCAGTTACAAAAAAAAAAAAAAAATAAGTTTTAGGATTCGTGCGACAAATCCAAAACGCGTTTAGTTATTCTATGGTATAAAATAAATGATTCTAACATAATATAGGAATGATAATATAATTAGTGTTTATTAATTCGTCCACGTAATGCGATTACGGTACGCGTGACGATTTCAGATCCGTATACAACAAAACAAAACAAAGAAAAAAAAACCATATTATTTTGTCGTAGTCTGAATTTATAGTATTTAATGAAAAATCGTGAAACTTTT